GTTGCAAGTATCACAAAAGAGGAATTAGATACATACTCAAAGATCATATTCAAAATTATACTTTTAAGAACAATCTCAATTTCTATTATATTTTCATCTTGTTTATTATCATTTCCAGGAACATCAAGTGGTTCCTGATTAAAGACTTTAGTTAAATCTTTATCCCAGTTCTGGTGAAGTTCCCTTGATTTTTCCCCAGAAACTCCCATTCTTATCAGAAACAGCACATAGCTTAAAAATAGAAAAGCAATTCCTAGAAGCAACTTAATTTCCAGAGGTTTCCCGGGATTACGAAGACCCATCTGTAACAAATATCCAGGCATCAGCCCACTCACAAGCACAGGGCTTGCAAGATTCCCTCTTATGCTATCCTTGAGGTCAGAGACCCCGTACAGGCACGGACGACCCATTTTGTCACACAGGCGTCGTGGCCGGAGAGGACAGCGAGGCGGGTGTGGCACCAGTCTTTGAGCCTTCTTATGTGTAGATATACTTAAAGCCGAACTGTAAAATATACACATGGGAAATGACAGCTTAGTGATAGGCTCCCTGGAGTCTCCTAGCCTCTATGTGTGACTTCTGCCCTGCCCAAGATCCTAGGACCAATCTCCTCATTGTCAGTAGCAGCTAATTATCACCATCTATTCAGATGCGTTAATGGTTAGCTACAATGCGACTGAGAGTGGGGTGGAGCTCCCGGACTAAACAAGCGTGGAAGGAGGAGTGGCGTCCACTTCCATAATAGCTTGCCTCAGGAAACCCTATGAACTTGGAGAGAGGATGAAAGGCACCCAAGCGTCAAGGCCTCTCCTTCATAGGGTTGCTATGAGTGGCCTGCGACAGTACTTAACAACAACAACAACAATTCAGATGCAGGTTATTCCTTAGAGAGGCACATCGTGCTTAGAAAGGTGGAAGGTCATCAAAAGAAAGGAAGGACTTCAAAAGGATGGACTCACAGTGACTGTGGCAATGGACTCAAGAATGCCAGAGACTGTGAGGATGACAGACACAGGATAGGACAGAGTTCAGATCTATTGTTCACAGGGTTGCTATGAGTCGTACTAAACTTGACAGACCCTAGAAGCATTTAGATGTGTGCACTGAGTGCTGTGGATAAGGCATGCATACAAGATATGGTTCTTTCTCTGTGGTGGGAGATGCAGTAGTAGCACAGGAAGAATACAGCATATGCAGAAGTAGCATAAAGCAAGGAAAAATAAGCATTTACCAAAAGAGAAGTCTGAGCAAAGAACAGGAAGATAAAATTGCACAGGACAAATGGACCTTGAAGGAAGACTAGCTAATTGACCTAAGGTGATGCTTCCTTTTTTCCTATGAGGTGGATAGATTCAGTGACTGGGATAATCAGGGTGGGAGTGTCAGAGACAGTGCGATTGGCGTAGGACAGAGCAGAGTTTAGGGCTGTTGTACATAGGGTCGCTATGAGTCTCAAGTGACTCGACGGCTCATAACAACAACAACAACAACAACATCACCAGTGACTCTCTGGACTATTGCAGACACTCAGAAAATATTTGTACAAGTTAAGTAAGCACACAAGGTTGGCACAGTATTGCCGTTTTCTAACTCAGAGTCCCATTCTTGGTCTTTCACACCATGCAGTTTGGTGGTTTCACTTTGAGAGCATCAGAAACAAAGAAGGGGCATTTTTAATTTGTTGTGAGAGAAAGCAGTTCTGAGGCCCTTTCAAGCACATTGAGTTAGTTAGCCCAGTGCTACTCAGCATAGGTGTTTCTTCCTTTCGCTTCCTTCTAGCAATGAGCTCAGGGTAGGTATTAAATCAAGATCTTGCTGACTACCGGGTTATTGGATACCCCACACCAGTGGGCTGGGGCGAACGGTGAAACTCAGCATTCTGGCTCTGTTGCAAACCAGGATGAGGTGTACTTTAAGAGATTAGCGTGCACCTATAAATCATAGCCTAAACACTTCATCTGCTCTTGGATGGCCTCTCTCCCAGCGAGCTGAAAGCTCTTTATAGAGATGAACTAATTAGTTTGCATACCAGGTCTATGAGTGTGCAGGGGAGGGGAACCAAACACCTCATTCAGAGCTGAAGAATGACTGTCCTAACACCCTGCATGCTTCCTGAGCACTCCATCCTGACTTAATGGGCTGTAGCCACCGGGAAATGTTTCTCCCTGATGACAAATATGCTCACTTCGTATCTGACCATAGCTCACACTTGTTTCATTAGGCAATTTGTAAGATTTAGCTTTGTGGGTTAAGTATGAGTGTCACATCTTCATTTTAAGGTCTAATGTGCTTAGGGAATATATGCTGTCTCCTAAGGCCCAAAGAGTCCCCCATACAACACGCTGGTAAATGCAAGGGAGGGAAGATTTGCTTCCCAGTTAGTCCAGATAAGGTCTAGCCAGACTTCCTGGCCCTCCCAGCTCCCGACAAGCTTGGTCCCAGCCTTCCGTTCCTCACCGTGGAGGGCAATTACAACGTGCCCCCTTCCTGAGTTCTTCTATAGTATGGTTTTATCAGTGATCCAGTTCAATAGAAGCATTTCTTCTTTGTCTCATGATGGAGCAGGAAAGATTTCACCTCCCAAACCTTCCTTTCCCAAGTCCTGTCCTCCACGCAAAGGGTCAGGGGAAAGGAAGGTCTGTCTGTCTTGGCTTTCTGTGCAGACACGTGCACACAGGTGTGCAGGCATTCTTGTGTGCAACCACGCAAAAGCTGTTAAGAGGCTAAAACACTTCCTTCCTATTTCATTAACCAGAGCCAATGAGCAATAATTGTGAAAACTGGTGCAAGGAGGTGAAAATGACGACATCAGGCTCAGCAGAAACGGAATCTCTGCCATTGCTCTATGATATGAGTGCTGAGTCTTTGGAAGGTTTGGGTCTGGCTGGAGGCTGAGAGGGGCAGGGCTTTGGAAGGAGAATGGGTTTATGCGAGGAGACAGTTTCACAAGTGACTTTCTAAATCTCAGTTTCCTCATCTAGAAACTGGATCTATCGCCTTTAGGATTGCTGGTGAAATGAAATGAGACCATTTCATTTTCTGGTGAATTAAAAAAGTAAATCCTAATGTCTGATAAATTTTAAGAGTTAAAAAAGTCAGTCCCTCCCTGCACTTAGCTTCTAGGCTTCTAGAACCCTTTTAGTGATTATATCAGTTGTCTTTATAGACTAAGAAAATAGGAACACTCAAAGAAGCATACCTAAGAATTGCTAAAGAAATTATCAGTGTATCACCATTGTCTTGATAGATCATTCAAAGCTCTGGACTTGAAGCAAACAAGTATTGACTCAGAACTTGTCAAGACTACTGTTAAAACCTTTAGGACACAAAGACTGTGTCACTACATCATGATCAATACAATGGACTTTAAAAGAGATTTATAGCTTCTGCCCCTTTGAGTGGAGCATTAGGGCGGAGTGAAGGTAATCTCAGATATGTCTTCCTGCTTGAACTCAGGCCTTCTTCCTTGACTGATGGGAGAGGGACTGGAGTGATAGCTGTGGATTGCAGACACACAGGAGTGTATAATGTGCATGTTAGCGTCACCTTTATTTTCATAGTGTCAAAGGAGTCTGATCCCTACTAGAGCCACTAGACCCAGGGTTTTCTGAGGAAATTGCAAAAGGAATCTTTGACACCAACCAAAGATAGTTTGCTGGGGAATGTCAGGGAAGATGGGGAGGTCTCTGGCCACCGCAGATCGCCTATTTCCAGTGCAAGCCTAAGATGGCCATCACATCTGTTGAGCTGGGAGTGGTCTGCACTGAGTTGAGGTTCTCCTGCCCAATCCGCATGTCCTATGTCTACAATCCCACCCCATCCTGTCTTCCTGTTTACTCGCCTGTATATAAGTGCACTGCAACCCCCTGCACTCTCTGCAGTGCTCCCAGAGTGGTGTGTCTCTGTCACACTTACCACCATCAGGTCAGGGTGTCACTGCTCCCTGCCAGCAAACACAGCGACAGTAGTTCTGATTTCAGCGAGTCCCTAGGCAGTGAAAACAATGAAGGTGCTTGACTGCTTACCCAAAGGTCAGAGGTTCAACTTCACCCAGAGGCATCTTTGGAGACAGCTGGCAACTTTTATTTATTGGTGTGGTTTTTTTTTTTTTAAATCACTTACTGAAATCTCTGTTCTACTCAGACACACATGGGGTTGCAAAAAGTTGGAACTGGATTGACAACTGAGGGGTTTGCTGGTTGGCCTCTGTCTTTTTGAAATATGCTGAATTCCTCTAACACTTTTCTTCTGCCACAAAACTTCATTGCTTTAAAATTTTTTTTTCCTCACCACCAAGACAGCAGCTTATAAATATTGAATTGACTTCTGGGGGTACCTAGAAGATTCACTTAACTGTAGGAGTGCCAGCTGGCAACCTGGGACTAAATCAATGAATCCAGGGTGGTAAGCACACGTTGGAATCTTTGTCTAACTTCTTTCACTGCAAAGAGCCTTTAAGACAGTTTGTGATTTTCACCCTTTAGAAAGAGAGCTGATCAGGTTTTCTTAGACATGAGGAAATAAAAGAAAATGCTGAGATACTAAGTTGGTTTTGAGTGAAGATGTAGTATTTTTAATATTCAGCAATGTTACATACACACCTGACAGAGGTGAGTATCAGCTAACAGAAATATATTAGTTTGACTTAAAATAAAAAAAAAAAATCCTTCAAGGCAAATTTATCATGACTACAAAAATAACGGTACATCTCATTAACTCCTTCCAGCTCAGAGTTATCAATGCATCCAGAGAGGAAGAGCATCTTTAAATAAACTGCTTCTTGCCCATACAAATCTCACGACATAAAAAATAAAGTTTATTTTCATATTTACAAAAGAAACACACTGATTGTTTCTTTAACTTCTCTTTGGAATTACTGGGTGAGGCTACTTTTCAAAGTCAGGCATCATTTCCAATTGAAGGAGGCACTTTAGAAACATCTCGACACGTTATCAGATACCACTGAAACAATCCTGCGTCCTCTTCTAAAGATGAGGTTTTTATCGCAGCGCTTCTGGAACTTCCACCTACAAAAAACAGGGGGTTTCCTTTCATTAAAACAACACGAATGATAAAAAAAACACCTATGTGATCACATCCAGCAGATGTGATCAGCTTCCTGAAATTAACAGCAACAAGTGTCCCTAACAGTATTGTCTGACAGGACAGGGTAATGGTAAGGAGCTGCACTACTAACACGGAGGTACACGGTTCAAATCCCACAGCTGCTCCTTGGTAGAACTATAGGCAGTCTTCTCCTCCGTAATTTGCAGCCTCTGAAAACCTGCTTGAGGGTCAGCTGTGAGTCAGTACCTACTCCACGGTATTTAATAACATTGCTGCCTGCTATTCAAATTTTGTATTATGAAGTAGGTTTTAAAATCACTTGTGCTCTAAAGTTGGACAAGTAAGGAATCTTTTGGGATGTAGATTATTATTGTTATACACTTGTGTCAGAACCAACTCCTTAGCTCACTGGGCAGCGGGTTTTCAGAGGCTGTAAATTACAGAAGGAGATGGCCCATCTGTCTCCCTCGGAGCAGCTGGCAGATTCGAACTGGTTATCTTTAGGTTCGCTGCGCCAACTCCTTAGTCACTTAGTCATCCGAGCTCCCTGGAGACTATTAGGCCTGATTGTTCACTAGGGAATTAAAATAGCTACTGGACTAGCCTTGGATTTGGTTTAATTTTCCTCAGCTTCAGCTTTAGTTTGCTTGGCTCCATAGTCAACACTCTTGGCACCAGCAGCCAGGAATTTAAAAGGCACATTGCCATGGGAAAGTCTGCTGTTAGGGACCTCTCCAAAGTACTAAAGAGCAATGGTGTCTCTCTGAAGGCAAGGATTCTGAGGCTCTGTCTAACATACTTTGGACATGTTGTGAGGAGAGACCGGTCCTTGGAGAGGGACATCATGCTTGGGAGGGTGGAGGGACAGTGCAGGAGAGGAAGGCCCTCTATGAGGTGGATTGATTCAGTGACTGGGATAATTGGGATGGGAGTGTCAGAGACAGTGCGATTGGCACAGGACAGAGCGGAGTTTAGGGCTGTTGTACATAGGGTCGCTATGAGTCGCAAGCGACTCAATGGCACATAACAACAAAACAACAACTGGACTAGCTTAGAGGGGGCGTGGTTTTCCTCCCTGGGAGGAGGATGCTGAGGGAGTGGGCCCGCCACCTCCCACGCGGAAAGGTGTGTACACTCCCAGGCCTAGCCCCGATGTTGCAGACTTGGCACACATGTGCTCGCATCTAAATCATGCCAAACACTCCCAACCCCTTTCCGAGGGTGCTTTGGTACCAAGTACCCGCTCTCTGGCTCCCCTGCCCCGGTGGCCTGGGCCACTCACCCGCCTCAGCTGTCGGATGCTGCTCCCCCGGATGGCTTCCATCAGGTTGTCGTGCACGGACCTCTGTGGGGTGGAAGGCCGCGAACTCTCTTCTGCTTTCTTCTCTTGCACGGACCTCAGGGAATTTTTAATTTCCTTGAGGATGTTGTTGGGCTGTTTCTTGCCCTTCTTGCCCTTTTTCTTTTTCTGTCCGTTTTGCAGGGCCCTCTCCTGCTGCTTGATGACCTCCGCGATGTTCCTGGTGACCACCTTCTCGGGGAGGGGCGGCGGAGGGGGCGGTGGGGGCGGCGGGGGCAGCTTGTTGGGGGGCGGAGGCGTTGTGGGCGCGGGGGACGCGGGGCGGCTCTTGACCGTGTGCACTTTCCTGGGCAGCTTGGGCGAGGACCAGGGCGAATGCCTGGGGGAGGCGTAGGGCGAGGAGGCCGGCGTTCCTCTCTGCCAGACTTTGGTCCTGAGGTTGGCGCCTGCGTCCTGGCCCTCGTGCTGTTTCTGCTCCTGCATGCGCCTTTGTCTCTGCTTATCCATGTTGCGGGTCAGGATGCTGGTCATGCTCATCCTGGGGCCCGGCAGCTCGAAGTGGTAGCCCAGGCGCAGCACGGTGGTGTTGTCCCGGAGCAGCTTGACGATCTCCATCTCCACCTGGCTGCCCATGATGTGCCGCTGGTTGTGGAAGCGCAGCTCGGTGAGCACCGCGTTGTGCTGCAGCGCGCGCATGATGGCCAGGATGCCCTTGCCCGTGATGAAGTTGGACTCCACGTTGATGCTGGTGACGTGCTGGTTGACGCGCAGCATGTCGGCGATGGCCAGCGCGGCGCTGTCGTCCGCGTGCGTGTTGGCCAGGCTGAAGGTCTTCACCACCGTGTTGGCTTTGAGCGCCTCCGCGAAGCGGCTGAGCGTCTGCGAGGTGATGTTCTCGATGTTGTTCAGGTTGACTTCCGTGGTGTCCGGGTCGTTGTTCTGAATCTTTTCCAGCGCGTCCTCGATGACTGTGGGGTTTCCACAGGGGTGGATGGCCGCGGGGGACTCCGGGCGCCTTGCACTGTGGCCGTTGGTCAAGTTTATGTTTTCAATCTGACTTTTAAATGTCTTTGGCGTAGAGTTGTCCGAGTTGACACCGTCACAGTTAACAGTTCCATTGATAGCTTTGGCGCTGCCCACGTTCCTTTCCTGGTCAGGGCTGTCCTCCTCCTCTTCCTCTTCCTCCTCTTCCTCTTCTTCCTCCTGGGACTCGTCCTCTTCCTCCGTGTACACTTCCTCAGAAACCTCACTGTTGGTTTCGGTAAAGATAAGCTCTTCCTCACTCTCGTCTTTGTCTTCTTCTGCAAGCTGAAGGGTAGGGTAGAGATCAGTACATTACTGGGTTTAAGGTCGTGTTTTTAAAAGTTTCTGAAAACATCACCCAGTACAAGAGCATGTATTATGATAAGTTCATGATCGATTTCCGAGTTCACCAGCTCAGATGGCCCAGGCTAACATGTGGTTGTGTGTCCCACAGCCGTTTCTCAACAAACATTTCTTCCTTAAAAAATAAAATACTAAAGAACCCATGAAATATTATACAAAATGGGTGACCATGGAGGACATTATGCTAAGTGAAATATCTCAGACACACAAAGACAAATACTGCAAAATGCCACTTGTTATAGAACAGGAGGGAAATGTGCAACAATGAACGATGGAAATCCAAGTTCTTTATAAACTTTAAAAATCCCAAAAACATTAAAATACTATTGTGGAATAGCTTCTATGGCATTAACTTCTGGGTCAAAACAGCCCTACAGAGCAGAGTAGGACTCTCTCTAGGATTTCCAGAGCTGTGAGCTCTGTAGAGGGAGCTCTGGTGGCCCAGTGGGTAGTGAGTTATGCTACCTACTCAAAGGTAGGCTGTTCAAATCCACCACCCGCTCCTTTACAGCAAATGGGCTCTCTCCTCTCGTGACATTTACGGCCTCTGAAAAGCCACAGATGAGTCGATTCAGACTCTGTAAGCAAAGAGTTGTTGAGTTGAATCTTTTTGGAAGCAGACTATCATGTCTGTCTGCCAAGTAGAAGCTGGTGGGTTTGATCCACCAACCTTCTGGTTAGTGGGCCTGTGACTAACCATTTCTCTACTTTTTAAAAGACTAAATATCCAGAATACAACTTACTGAGTAAATCTATTCTGCCAGTTTTAAGTGAGCGAGTTAGACTTTAGCTTTTGGAAAGCTCCTTGATGAAACTGTCATTCTCTGGACTACTTAGTAGTACAAAGAATTAAGCACTGAACTTAAGGTTAGTGGCCTCCTCCAGTCCTGTCCTGCTCTTGGAGATATGTTGGAAGATAGTGCTGGTGACCTGAGTCTGAAAGGTCGCAGATGTGCACCCCCAATGGAATGCAGTTCAATAGGAAACATGGGGTCGCCACGGTTCACAGTCAACAGCAACTGGTGAGGGTTGAAGTTCTTAATTAGCTTGTTGAAGTATTTGATTCCTGGTTTATTTACCCTTCTATCAAAATCACTGAGGTCCTTATTTCTACATCTCAAATAACCAGAAGCAAAAAATACACAGCATGTTAGTGAAATCTCTCGTGTGGTGACTGCCAGGTGCTCTCTGCCTGGCTGGCCTCAGGGTGGAGGGAGACATGGCACCAGCTGATCCTCCAGGGTCTTTCTCTCTGGGCAGCAGCCTGGTGTGGGAGCCACTGCTTTACCTGGCACTGCTCTGGGTGGGGACAAGACTGTCGCTCAGGACAATGTGAGGTCAGAAGACAGTTCAATGCAGGAAAAAAAAATCAGGTCATCTTTTCAGCAACTCAGCTTGAAATCCAAATTAGAACTGAGCTAAATGAGATGGACTTTCAAATGAGAGAGCCAGGTAGAAAAGAGAATCACCCTTGGGACCTATCAGATTCTAACCATAAGGTGAAACAGCAGCGAACTGTAGGAAATCCTGCAGGGATTTGTTGTCTTCACCTGAAAGGTTTGAATTATTTAGGAGGCATCAATTATGAAAGGTTTGCAGGCAACACAATCTCATTCTTTCTCTTTCCTGTTTACAAAACTCTCCACAAAGAGGACAAAGAAGATAAGATGCCTCCCTTCTCTTTTCTCTTTAACAAATAGACCCTTGGAAATTACTTTTCCCTCTTTCTGCCCTTCCAGGCCTTGCTGATCGTCTCTCAAGGCCTATTCTTGCCCTGAGTCCTCCCTCATTCTGGCAGGCCTTCCTGACCCCAAGGCTTTTGCTGTCTGAGGCATGTGGAACAGGCTTTGGGAAAGAGTCCACTTGCATTCACGCTTGTTTGTCCAGTTGCTGTCACAAAATAGCCTCTACTTATCCACTTGTTTGGAGTGGCAGGCACCAAGTGATGGCCTGGGAAGGGGTCAGCCACTTCAGGGATGACTTGTCCAGTCTTTATTTATACTCACTTCTAAAGGAACAGGAAAGGCTACTCTGTGTGTGCTTGTGTGTGTGTGTGTGTGTGTGTGTGTGTGTGTGTGTGTGTAAGAGGCAGAGACAGAGATACACACACACAAGTTGCATGTCATACCTCAAAAACATGAGACAAAGAATGTTATCTGTGACCAGATTTCACATGAGTACAAAAATAATAACAAAAACCAACAACAACCCAAGCCTACTGCCATCCGACTCATACCTGCCTCCTGGACAGGAAATAATTGCCCAATGGGTCTTCTAAGACTCTCATTTTTTACAAAAGCAGAGTGCCTCAATTTTTCTCTTTCCGAGCACCTGGTGGGTCTGAACAACTGACCTTTCTGTTATCAGCCCATGGCTTAACCCACTATGCCAGTAGGTTTTCTCTGAGCACAATTAATTGTTCTGGAATTCCCATTCTCTGCAATGTTAGCACAATGTGTTATGATCCATTCAGCTGAATGCCCTTACCCAGACCATAAAAATTCAGGTAAACATCTTTCCTGTATTGCTTGTATCTTGCTTTCATCCAAGATCTATCTGATGTCGGAAAAGATATCCCCCATTCTACACTGTTTTCTAAATCTAAGTTGAGCTATTGGTACTTTCTTGTTGAGATACTGCTGAAATGTTTTATTCTGCAATAACTCAGTGGCATTGTTCTGTGCTTGACAGAACGGTCATTTCTGCTGTCTGCTGACTCATCTGTCTTTGACATAAATGCCCATATGTGTCCTTTTCTAGTTTGTTGGTCTGGTAGTTACTTGCCTGATCGCTTGTCCTCAATTTCAGCCTCACTTCCAGTTGTTGAAACATCTCAACTCCCATCAATTCCTGGCAGCATGGACCTTTTGGACTAAGGGTTTCAGGGTACGTTGGACTTTGTCTTGTCATTGTAGTTAGATGCTGTCAAGTGGACTTGTGGTATTAACTCCACTATGCACAACAGATCAAAAGCCTTTCCCATGCTCAAAACTGTTGCTGGGTTTGAACCCATTATGGCAATCACCGTGTCAATCCATTTCAGTGAGGGCCTTCCTCTCTTTTTTTGATCTTCCCCTTTTCCAAGCATTATATCCTTTCCCAAGGACTGGCCCCTATGATAACATACCCAAAGTATGTGAAACAAAGTCTCACCATCTTTGCAGCTAAGGAACACCCTGCATGTAGTTCTTCCAAGACAGATTTGTTTGCTTTTTCACTAGTCTACGATATATTCCCATGCCACAATTCAAAACATATGTTCTAACTCTTTTGTGATCTTTCTTGTTCATCGTCCAACTCTCACAAGGAAATGAAGGGATTGAGAATACCTTGGCATTGGCCAGGTGCACCTTTAGATTGACATTCCAGCACATCAGCTGTTAAAGAAGTCCATAGCAGCAGATTTGCCCGGTGCAATATGTCATTGGATTTCTTAACTTCTGCTTCCATTGGTCTTGATTGTGGATCCCAGTAAAATGAAATAATTGACAACTTCAGTCTTTTCTCCATGTCCTGAAATGTTGCTTATTGATTCAGTTGTGAGGATTTTTTTTTCTTTATGTCGAGGTGTAACATGTACTCAAAGCTATAGTGTTTGTTCTTGTTCAATAAGTATTTGAAGTCTTCTTTCTGCACCATCACTAGTTGTTGAGACTTCCTTCAATCCTGATCTTCAGTCGAGTTCTTCATAATGAAGTCCATCCGCTCTGCACGTTATCCTGGCTCCAGGACTATGCCACGTTCTCACCTTGTGCCACTGCTTTGGAGTTGATTCTGAGCCTCGTGAGAAGAGCCGTGGGAAGGTGGTAGTGGGTGAGGAAGCTGGGAGGGGCTGGTGAATGCAGACAGTGGTATACATCAGGGCTGAGGAGGTGGCTAACCATTTCACCGGATCACCTCCCTGGCACCACTACATGCACAAGGGGACAAAGGGCTTGGTTTCCTGATCTGATTCTCGTTCTTTCCATAAAGAACTGGTTGAGTTTAGGCAATTCACTAAATCTCTCTGGGTCTCAAAGAGACTATGGTGTATTTGAGGGCTTGTCAATTTCTTTCTTTTTATCTAGTTGCAATTGCTAGGAAAGGTGGAGAGTCAGAGAAAGAGAGGAAGACCTTCAATAAGGTGGATTGACACAGGGACAGTAATAGTGGTCGTGAGCATATCAGAGCCTTTGGGCTTTGCTCAGAGCTTAGATCTGTAGTTCACAGGCAGCTGTGAGTTGTAGCTGACATGATAGACTGTAACAACAGTAACACAGAATAACTGATTCTCAGTGCGTCAGAGTAGAACTGTACCCATACTGGTTTCAATAGCTGGTTTTCTGAAGTAGATGAGCAAAACTTTCTTCTAAAGTGCCTCTGGGTAGACTTGAACTTCCAACCTCTATATTACCAACAGAGCTCAATATCTGTTCATACCACCCAAGGACTAGCTTCAGCCTTGTTCATAATCACCTGGGTGTCATTGTTCTTCTTAGTTGCTGTTGAGTATAACCCATAGTGACCCTATGAACCTCTTGTCCTATTCTGTGTCATCCTCAGAATTTCTGACACACTTGAGTTCATTTCTGCCACTATGTCAGACCATCTTGTTGAGTATCTTCCTCTCTTTCGCCAACTCTTGATCTTTCCAAGGTTGATGTCCCTCTTCTAAAGAGTAGCCTCTCTTAGCAGCATGCCCAAAGGGCGCTCTGATGGCTTAATGGTAAGGAGTTATGGTGCCAACCCAGAGGAACGTGGTTCAAATCCACCAGCTGCTCTGTGGGAGAAAGGTGGGCAATTTCCTCCCATAAGATTTGCAGCCTCTGGAAACCTATTGGAGATTCAGCTAGGAGTCGGTTCTGACAAAAAGATACATAACAACAAGGAAAAGATCTTAAGTATGATAAAGCCCATCATCTTTGTCTCCCAGGAACACCTTCCTCAGGACATATTTGTTTGTTCTTTTGGCCGTCCATGGGATATTCAGTGCTCCTCTCCAACAGCACGGCTCAAATGCCTCAGTTCTTCCGGAGACCTCCGGAAACTGCTGCTACAAGAGCCCACCTCTAGAAGGAATCATTCAATAGCTGCAGGCTGGAGACCTGAAACTGGCAAGTTTAATTTAAGACATTTTCAGGTGATGCTAATGTTCCTGGCCAGGAGTCTTATTGCCAGCTGACCTTAATTTGAATTTCATTTCCACGTACAAACTGTTAGCTTCATATATTTTTCCAAACCTCTCCCAGTCTCACGATCTGATCTGAGCAGGGTAAGTTAAAGGAGCGGTCTTGAGGGAGCTCTTATGACACCTGTACCTGGGACCCATCAGGCACTCAAACTGGGGAAGCTAGTAGCCTACCTCCCCGGCTGCAGTGCTAATACAGGTGTACTTGTGTGATCTGAGTGAGCGGAAGGCTGGAGTTACCTAGGCGTTGAATGTAAGTTTCACGTCTGTATAGAGAGGGGGTGGTGGCCCAAATGGTGAAGTGTTTGACTCCTGGTTGAAAAGTTATTATTGTTGTTGCTGTGTGCTGTAGAGTCAGAACTGACCCATAGCTGACCCTCCGGTGGGTTTTCAGAGGCAGTTAATTGCATGGAAGGAGATTACCCATCCTCCTCCACCGAGCTGCTGGTGGCCTTGATCTACGTGCCTTCAGGATTGCAGTGCAGCTTCTAGCCACCCACCCCAGGGCACTTTAAAAGACAGGCCTGGTGAGCTGCTTCTGAAAGGTCAACATTGACAACCTGATTCCACTCGTGACACGTGGATCTGCTCACTGATGGAGCTGCCCTCCATCTGACAGAGACCTCCGTCTCTTCCTTGAGGACCACACTGTGCTCTCTCCGTGTCCAGAGGTGGCACTGCCTCCCTCAGCCCCACCAGCTGCACCGATTCTCCAGCGGTGAGAATGGATTTACACTTTCACAGAGCCTCTGCCCCTCTCTCCTTGTGACTACAGACAGCTGCTGGCCAGCGAGGAAAGGAAAGCGTAGTGGGAGAAAAGTTAACTAGCTGAGAAGGGAATCAAAGTTCATCAACACCACTGCCTCTCTAATTGAGCTGATAAGCCATTGGCAGGGAGAGAGGGAGCGCTGGCAGGGCTCAGGTGGAGTCTGTCAACAGCTGACAACAGCCTTTGCCCTTCATTTCCCGCCGTGTCATGACACAATGACGTTCAAATGCCTCTCTCTGTTGGGTGATTGCTACAGTGGCTGGCTGGCCTGGGTTTTTGGAAACCATCTTACTCTTTTGATTCAGGTCACTCTTCAAAACTGACTTTTAAATGTCATTATATTGTATGTATTTTATCATACCTTTGACACTGACTCCCCTGTCAGGAAAGACCCCTGACAAATATTATCATGGAGGAAGTGACTAGCCCATGTCCTGACCCCGTCCGTCATGTGTGTCCTCTTCCTCAGCCCCCTCCTTCCAGCCCCTCAATGCAATCGGCCACTGTGGCCTTGACAGACCTTGGCCTGATCCCAGTGGCCCTTCATGCGATGATTGACATGGACAACACTCACATCTCTTGCTGCAAATGTGGCCCACACACCCTGTCATCACAATCCTCTAACAGCTCCTAGATTAGCATCATGGAGGGCTTGCCATTGGCTCCGGGCCACTTTGATTTGGGATTCCAATGGAGTGAGGAGATTCTAAATGGTTGCTCTGGACTGACGTTCTTTTAGAAATTCAGGAATTTCTCCATTACATTAGTGTGCTTTATGTCATTCTTCTTTTTCCAGCACAGAGTCATTTGACTATGACTCATTTGGCAGATTACAAGTCACATTTGCTGAGCAGTGAATGAGGGCTGAAGAGACCTGAGCTCTAATTCAACAACAGTCCCTGGCCTCAGAATCACCACCATAAAGTAAGTGGGAATCTTTCTTAGGGACTCACTAGGTGATTGCTTGACTTGGGCCCTCAGATAGTGGATTCGAACTGTGTGCCTTCGGGCTGATAGCTCAACTCCTCACCACTGAGCCACCAGAGCTCCCCGATATAGACATTAGTTTAACAACTCTATCTGTGAACAGAACCAGGAAGCTGAATCCTGAAGCTGTGACGGTCTCTCCAAGGTTGACCAGCTTAGTAAAGCGGGGACTCGTGAAGAGGCCCCCTGACCCTCGGGGCCATGTTTTCCTCACCACTGCACAGTTCTTGGTGATGGAAAAAGATGTAACTATTACTGCAGCTCCTACCAAAATCAAAACAAGCGCAGTTTTAGAAGTTGAAAAAAAGAAGAGAAACCGGATCTGTTACAGACAAAATGTCACATTACCAATTTAGAACTTGAATCCGACTTAAGCCTGGGGAAATATTAGATATTTATCTAAACCTGCACCTTGTGGTGATTTAGTTTTCCCATTGAATGTCCCCTTTATCACTAAAGAACCCCCACGAACAGTTTGACACAGTGTGATGGATTGCACAGCCACAGAGTTACAGAAGTAGTTCAGCGTAAGAAATCTCTCCCTGGCAGAGGAAACGTGTTCTAGAAAAGAGAGGTGGGCAGCTCTAAAGTGTTAGAGGAAGTAGAGGTGCTAGGTGTGAGGGGGGCAGGGGAAATCCCCAGAGCCTACCTTTCCACACTCCCCCAGCCTCTCCTTCTCCAAGAGTTTTTGAGACTCCTTTTCCCAATAGGCCATCAGTGACTCTCTGCTGAATGTCCCCGTGGGGGTCTTCTCAGTCAGACTCTTTTGTCTTAGCCCCACAGGAAGGCTGCGGTCAGGTTCAATGTCTTCCAGCTCCCTCTCCAGCTCCTTCAGTTCCTCAGCTGACAGAGAGGCGAGGAGTTCGTCCTCGTCAATGGACTCATATTTGCTAAGTCCTCTTCGATAACCAAAGGTAGACATGGTCCCTGCTTTGTCAGAGCCACAAGGAGCTTGGAGAATCAGGCATTCAAGGCAGCCAGAAGCAGGCTGGGAGGCAAGTGGGCAGGCTGGCCAGCAACTGGTGCTAGGAGTGGCTGCGATAGCCTTTTAAAAGTGGTGATACAGGGCTGTGACAATGCAGAGAGGGGTGAAGGCATAGGCTGTTTTAAGCATCAGACGTCAGCCAGACATTTGAACACAAACAATGTCACAGTGCTGGTGGTTGGAGGTCTCAGAACCAGTGGGGATTATTGACATACTGGCCAGGGCCATATTTAGCTGAGCCTGATAGTTCATGGTGACAGGCCGGCTGTGGTACAGATATGGAGTAGCGCAGTAATGACTCTGTTGTATTCAAACAGAAGGATAAAATCTACTCGGAAAAGGACTTGCTACCACAGCACCGTGGCCATGAAAAGCCTCTTTGATGACAATGTCTGAAGTTGAGATACAGCACTACGTCACTCTACAGGGAGTTAGCTGTTCTGGTCCTTCTGTAAACACAGTGTGGGTGGCACTGGAGACAGAAGACTGAAAGAACCTTGGACTTGACATTTTTATTGTACTTTGCAGTTTACAAAGGACTTGGATAGAATTTTCCTCATCATACAGTCATCTTCTAAGTAATAGTATCTTCATTTTATGTATTTTTGGCCATTGAGACTCAAGAAATTAAGTGAAAAAATTTCAGGTCAGAAAGGTGTTGTTTTTGTTGTGCATTGTCAAGTTGGGACTGACTCGTAGCTGATCCTCCGGTGAGTTTTCAAAGGCAGTAAATCACATGGGAGGAAATAGGTCAGTTTTATCCTGTGGAGCAACTGGTGGATTTGAACAGCACAAACCATACCAATAACCACAAGAGCTCCCTAGGTTAGAAAGCGGGAAACACAGAAATTGGTTTTTTCATTGAGTGAAAAAATAGTTTCCTACTCCTGTACCTGAGTATTACTGAAAAAAATCAAGACAAATCATAACACTGAGTCGAATGTTTCAAAGACCAACATTATGTCAGCCTAGTGCTACATATTTTATCTCATTTAATCTTACAGTCCTTGAACTGTGTATTATTATTACCCATATTGTATTCAGACAGACTCAGAGGGCAGGTAGCTAGCCAAGGGTCACAGAACCAAAAAGAAGAAGACTAGAATTTGAATAGACTTGTTTCTTGAAGTTAACTTTTTTAAGAAGTCCTAAAGCCTTAATGGGTAGGGAGTCATGCTGTCAACCTGAAGGCAGGTCATTTGAATCCAACAGCTGTTCCATTGAAGAATGACTGAAAATCTCCACCTATATGATTTACAGTTCTGAACACCCACTAGAGGGGTCAGATATGAGATGGTCCCAACTCATCAGTAAGAGTGTATGTGTGTGTGTGTGTGTGTGTGTGTGTGTGAGAGAGAGAGAGAGAGAGAGAGAGAGAGAGTGAGTGTGTGTCAGGATAGGGCATGATTCAGATCTGTTGTTCACAAGGTTGAATTATTATGAATTGTAGTCAACCTGATGACATCTAACAAAAACAACATACATATTCACACACACAAACATACTCTTTATTGACATGGTTCCTGTCCAAGGACAAGATTGTTATACAGAAGTTCAAGATGACCACATCAGATGTAGGATGATCATACCATTGTGTAGCTATCAAATCACAGAATTAACTTACCCAGAAAAGTTAACATATAACCTTACCCAAAACAACCAGTGTTATTCTGACCTCATATTCAGGATATATCACTGCCAGTAATACAAAGTTAATGCACAGAAAAATGGATTATCTTTTTTTTAACTTTTGTCCTAATTGTGAAATGTCAGAAATATGGTTGACAAGTTATTGTTGTCGTTATATGCTGTCGAGGCAAGTATGACTCATAATGACCCTATGACCCATATTGCTCCGAACTCTGCTCTAACTTGAGCCAATCATACTGTCTCTGACACACCTGCCCTCATTACCCCAATCCATCTCTTCTAGGGTCTTTCTGTCTTGTTCTGTCCCTCCACCTCTTCAAGCATGATGTCCTTCTCCAAGGACTGGTCTCTTCTTGGCAACATGCTCAAAGTATATGAGAAAGATCCTCAAAATCCTTGTCTCCAAGAAACAATTTGACTTCACCGTCCAGGACAGACCTGTTATTATCTTGGCTTGTTGTTGTTGTTGTTATGTGCCATCGAGT